AATGCCTTGTGTCATGCCTCCGTATTTCAAAAATTTGCCCTCGAATATGTCCTGTTCTAGTAACACTTGTCTCAGCATGCACTTCTTGTTAGTGTGATCACCCAAGCATCAAAGAGATTTGCATTTCAACAGCATAATGATATGCAAATGCAATGAACTAAAAAGGAAAATGATGAGGATGTTTGCATGTGAAAAGGTGGTAAAATCTTAGCTAAGTCATCTGTTGAGGTAGGGCACAATAGCATGTAACCTGGGGATTGGGGAAAATCCCAAGCTCGAACCGTCAAGGGACTGCAGTCAGTGTAGTTCATCAAAGATCAGTTAGCGAGTCTCAAGATTTGCAAGTTAAATAAAAGGACATAATCTTAACAAGTACAACTGGATTGTTGCACAAACTGGATTGTGCACAGGCTTTACCAAGGTACACCTGATAATAGTTTTGGTTCAGTTAGCAGTCATTTATGACGGACTAGTTTTGATGTGTATTCTGTGCTTTGGATTAACCTTTCCTCAAATCATCCTAAATCGTTGAAGCTACATTACAAAACCCACTGGAGGACTTAAAAGGGGGGTGGGGGGAGGAGATATAAGGAAAATACATCTATGACTTTGGAAAAAATATTGAAAAGAAAAAGAGAAGCAAGTACAACAGAATTACAAACCTGTGATCTGCGGGCCTCAAACTGAGGTTTAACAAGTGTAACTAATGTTGCCTCATCCTTCATGACATTGATGACAGCAGGCATTACCTGCATTAAAAAAAATTAAGGTGCATATGAATGGCCTACAAATTAACAGAAAATACATTTGTCATAGATAAGTTAGAACAGTGGGATGCTGCTGCTGTACGGTAAGCCTAAAACATAACACTGTCTCTACCTTAAAATTTTAAAACAAGGCCTCATTATGGAAAGAAGCTACATCATCTGTGAACTAAGCTCCAGTCTCCAACTAGGTGTCCTAAAACCGAATTCAGATCACTTAAATAAACCTAATAATAAAACATGTAAATTTTGTTTCTCAAAAGTTTCCCATACCGTCTTTGACAATCCAAGAGAAGAAAATTATCATAAAAATGGATAGATCTAGCATAATTTATTATGGGGTAGTATCATCAGATCAGGGCATATTGGAAGTTAGATTAGATGATATTTCTTATCAGACCACCAAATGGAGAATCCAGATAATTGAATGGCTAGATGATCTCTCAAATTGAACTATCAGGTGTGCAGAGACAAGATAAATGAGCAAATCTCTGGCAAATACCCAAACAATGACTAGGTATTTTTCTATTGGGATTCTTTTCTTTTTGATAGGTATACCCATGAAAAGATTAATTAACCACTAGTATCTCTCTACCATAGAGAAAATGTTCAAAAGATTAATTACATGGCCTATTCCAAGATAATTCCAATGTGTTTTTACTCCCAATGGTTATAATTCCAATTTGTTTTTAATCCCCAATGGTTATAAGTCCCGATTTCTACATCATCACCTTTCAAATAAACACAATCTTAAAGATATTAGAAGCATTTTTTTCAGATAAGAAACCAGAAACAATTAGGAGTCAACTCATGATTAAAAAAATATGAGAATGTACTAAGCTTCCGTATTTCTAATGTGTTGCAGCATACCAGGAGTATAGAGATAAAGGAAAGGTCAAGGGTCACCAAATCGACTTTTTGTGGGAGTCCAGAAAGGTATCTTAAATTTGTCCTTTCTATAACACAGACACGTTCATCTCGACGTATCTTATCAGCCACCTGATGAAGAATTTAATATCTGTTACAAAGAAATGAAGGAAAAGAAAGGAAAAGAAAGGAAAAGAAAAAACAAAGGACAACTACAAGTAAAACCCAAGGAGATAGAAACAGCACTATGAAATCATACTTGTTAAGACACTATAAGTCCGAAACTCCAAGGAGAAAAAACAGAAAGAAAAATGAGATGCATGCTTTTATATCTGAAGTTTAGGAAGCTTTACAGGTTTTCATTGAAAAAGGTTATCATTAACACATCTACACTGCTTAATAACACAAAAAGAAAGTAACAGGCAAATAGAAGTTGTGGAAAAAATGTGCTGGGATGATGTAGAGTAAGAATACTATTCACACATAATTTAGAATTTCCAAGCAACACCATTAGCAGTAGAAAGAAAAGATAGAAGAAATGAGTATTGGAAAAAACCAGACCAGATACTTCGTAAGCTTTCTCAAAATAACTCATCCAATTGAATTTTTATGAAGGCATACCTGTCCATATCCCACATCAACTCCATAAACAAATGAAGCACCATTCTGAAGTAAGCAATCAGTAAATCCCCCAGTGGATAACCCTGAATCAAGAACTACTTTTCCAGCAACATCTACACCTAGCTGTTCAATGGCAGCCTCCAACTTGTATCCCGCTCTGAATTAAAACACAATAAGATATAAATAATTTTTTTTTTATTCGAAGAAAAACTTGAAAAATTTAAATGGCTATATGTGAAAACACAATCCAATTTATTAGACAGGGGTTGCTTATAGAGAATAATCACCTACATACATATTTTGGAACTACAGCCATTATCTCTACAATAGCTTTATCAGATACAGGTGTTCCTGCTTTGTTTACCACTTTACCATCCACAAGCACTTTGCCTGAAACAGGGAACTGGATTAAGGAACCAAAAGAACATATACAAGGAATATTGTTAAGGAACCAAAAAAGATAGTAACACTGAAAATCTTCAAAAAAAAAATCAAAAACAAAAAATAAAACTGGCTTGGAGGAACATTTTAACACTATGGGACATATAAATAGATGCAATACATAATACATATTCAATATGAATAAATAAATATTAGGCAAAAAATCTCAAAATAGCAGTCAAGAAGACATACAATTTTACAAATATATCCACATCAAGGTGGTAAATGAAAAAATCTAATAAGAAATTGTAGTTTAAGGAAACCATACACTATATTATTTTTATCAATGACTAGAGTAGATGACTGATAGATTAAGAATGCTGAGACAACATCACATTGCGGATAAAATTATCTGTCAATTATTCACTTTTGTTCATTTAATTATTTATTTTGAGAAAGATAAAGTATAATCCATTACTAAAAAGATTAGCAACATAAATAGAAAGGAGGTATTCCTGTTTTCCAAATACAGAGAAAAACTGTGAAAGACTGTAGAATGCAAGATTGTCCAGAAAGAAAAAGAGATAACAGATTAACAGTCTTTTCCCAAGAAAGCATCTCTATAAATGTCCTGTAAGGGTATATCCTTGAACAAGTCTTCAAATCACTCAGCCCTCAAAAATCTTGGCATTTCTTTCCATCCATATTGACCAAATGACAGCTGCCAAAATGGAGTTCTAGGCAGTTTTATTTTTTTTCTACTCAGACCTTGGATGTACCACCTTTCTAGGACCTCCTTTACTGACTTGGGAAGGCACCAACTCACATTAAGGGATGCAAAAAAATTAAAAAAAAAAGATGTCAAACCTTTGTGCTTCTGGGGCAAGGAATAACAAAGTGATCTTCTGTGTCTCCAGATCAAGATTGCAGAATATACTGCCCAAGTAAGGAACTTCCAGTCAACATCAAAGTGGCATATTGGGTTAAGTCTTTGGAACCTTTTGATGATATCCCAATGGATAACCTTTTTAGAAGCTGGAAGGAAATAGCTGGTTCAGCCCCTGTTAAGGATGTTGTAACTCCTATTTGGTCTCCCCCAAACAGTGGTTTTATCAAGCTGAACTTTGATGGAAGTAGTGTGGGAAANGCCCAAGTAAGGAACTTCCAGTCAACATCAAAGTGGCATATTGGGTTAAGTCTTTGGAACCTTTTGATGATATCCCAATGGATAACCTTTTTAGAAGCTGGAAGGAAATAGCTGGTTCAGCCCCTGTTAAGGATGTTGTAACTCCTATTTGGTCTCCCCCAAACAGTGGTTTTATCAAGCTGAACTTTGATGGAAGTAGTGTGGGAAATCCAGGGACTTCAGGCATCGGAAGTGTTTCTAGGAATGGAGACTCACTTTTTTCCAGGACCAATTGGAGTAGGTGACTCCTTAAGGGCTGAGTTGTTGGCAGTAATAGAAGTACAGAGAGGAGTATGAGCATTAGAAAGTTGATTATTGAAGGAGACTCCAAGTCGGTGATGGGTTAGCTTTAGGAGGAGAAGAATGGGCTTCGGATCTATAGCAATGAAAGGAAGAAGTTGAAGTGGCTAACACAGGACATTGAAGTAAAATTGCATTGGGTTAAAAGAAGTGAAAATTCCTTTGCTGATGTATTAGCAAAACAAGGGGTAGATAGAGAATCTTTGTTTTGGGATCAATTGTAACTGCTTTGAGAATTCACTGGGAGAGCTAAGAGAGCTTATCTCTCCCTTGTCATTGTTCATTGTACTATGTTTTGAATTTCTAATAAGGTGATACAGTTATTGATAAAAAAACGCAAGGAACTTCCAAACCTCTTTTAATCAGTTTGTCTTTGGTAAGGCATTCATTGGGAACACCAGATTTTGGAATTTGGGTTTTCAGTAACAGATCAGCCACCTCGCCCATCTTCTGGTCCTGGAGATCTCTATGGAATTAAGGGGCTTAAACCACCTTGTTCTTCACCATTTAATAATACTCAGAAACTAGCCATTCCTTCTTGTCAGCCACTTTGAAAAGATTTAGGAATAGAGATGCCAGGGGGTTGAGGTCCTATCACGTCTCCATCAAAAACCTTACATTTGATCCATCACATACCCTATAAGAGATCCCAATTATGAAAGAATTAAATGACATGTCCATGCCTTTGAAAACCGAGCAGTCATAAGATGAGTATGCAAGGCCAGAATCCCATCCCCAGTTCCTTGATCTAAACTTAGCCTCCACTAGTTGCCTCCACCAACTTACAGATTCAATGCTATAGTGCCAATGCCTAATTTCTACAAGTACAAAGCTCACCACTTTTAATCTTCTAATCCTCAACCGTCATGCAGCCTTCTAGAACAAATCAATACCCAGTCCACCAAGTGAATCTTCTTTTCATCCTTCCATCCTTTCTAAAGGAAGACATTGTGCAATTTCTCAAGTTTATTTGCCATCTTTGCTAGGATGGGGGAACAAGGAAAGAGACAATAAGAAGGAATATTTGCCAAGATACTTTTGATTGAAGTCACTTTGCCACCTTTGGATAAATAACTTTCCAAGGAAAGTCTTCTATCAAATCTCTCAATCACTAGACCCTAGATGGTGCTAGAATTGCACTTGACACCATATGAAAGGCCCAAATATTTGGTAGGAAGTTTTGCAACCTTACATCCCATCACCAATTCTAAACCTTCACTTCCACAATCCGTCTGACCAGGATAATGGAACTTTTTCTAAGATTAGTATTA